AAAAATTAGAATCAGCCTCCTGATCCTCTGAAGGGGCAATCTACGCGATTCCTCGGGTAATACAGCCTCCAATTCGCCTAGGTTTTTGTACAGAATCTCTTTGTTGCACACGGCGACCAATCATGTCCAAGATGTGCTCCGAGGGGTTACGATCGGGGCTCATTCAATCATGAGATATGTCAGGGGGTGCTTATCTAAGGTCTGTGTGTATAGATGCTCATGATGTTGATCACTTGATTGTCTGGTTCAGACTCGAATGTTTACAGACCGCCGGCATGTAGTTGGAATATTGCTGAGTGCGGTGTTAACAACAAACCAACCAACCAAATACATCATGATGCGGCCTGTAAATAACCTGGGCCAGGCTGTCGAGCTGATTGATAATCAATGTCCCATGCACCGCCAAGACGCACGCGAGCTAAATTAAAGAGAATCACAAACGCTGGCAGGCACACACACATTTCTTTTGTTAGTCGTCTCTGTCAACATACTTGGGGGCTATTGGGATAGGCAGTAAGTAATGGGAACCAAAGAAGGAAAACCAAGTTCTATGGATAGTCAACTTCTCTATTGCAATGAGTGCGACGTTTCGGTGTAGGTAATAACACCGTTATCAAGCGCCGAAACGTCGCACTCATTGCAATAAAGAAGTTGACTATCCATAGAACTTGGTTTTCCTTCATCTTTACAACTTCTAAAATGCCTCTCTAACAACAAATGGGAACCAATGTTATATATGAATACTTTTATTTAGTTAATTTGGATAAGATACACTTTTGGACAATGACATTTTGCGAAAGTGGTGTGTGCACAAATATGACCCTCTTCTACATATACAGGCGTAAATACGAGGAACATTAAAAAAAAGTGCTGTCGAAATATATGTACCTACTTACTCGACATGGTACTTCAGGATGTCGGATAAGTAGGTTAACGGGGTTTAGTTGTCACTGATCAAGTAAACCATACAAAGGCACACAAATTTCATGATAGAAAATATTATATCAATTCAGACAGTATTCGTATTGAAACAAATTGCTATATGTACATGCCATTTTGGACAAATCAAACCTTTAGCATTGATATTCTAGGTGTTCAATGTCTTGAAGGATTTGTTCATTTGTACTTTTTGTTTGTTGCTTAACGCCGCACTCAGCAGTATTCCAGCTAAAAGGCGTTGGTCTGTAAATAACGGAGTCTCGACTAGACAATCCAGTGATCAACATCATGAGCATCGATCTACGCATCTGGGATACAATGACAAGTGTCAACCAAGTCAGCACGCCTGGCCACCTGAACACGTTAGTCGCCTTTTACGACAAGCATGGGTTACTGAAGGTTCTAACCCGGATGTTCATGGGTCCATCTTAAGGCTATGTTAGTATATTTGTGTATGAAAGTTACGATCATCGTAGCTCTAAGGTCGCTTTGTGCATGTGGGCCCAGACACAGTAGTAAGCATACTCTCCAAAATGCTGTGGTTCTTATAATATACAAGTTTCCATGCATAAATTCCTTCCCTGAACTAAAAAAATCATTTTAACGTATGATGTTCGTTAAAGGATTGTTTACACGCTTCTGCAACTGTAACATGTAAATCATATCGGATTTTAAGGCCACTTCTAACAATATTCGTTCAATTAAGACACGTAGACTACTAAAGTATACTCAGCAGCCAAAAAAACGTCAGTACGAATTAAAATTTAGGCAAATCAAATAATTACAGAAATTGACATAATAAGCGGATCCAAAACATTTTTTGTATACAATATCTTGACACATCGATGAATAACTCACTAAGCACATTTACAAGACATTACGTGAACGTTTGCAGTCCATTCAGACTCTTGACTTCAGTATCTAGTGTGACCACCACGAGCGGCAATAACTGCAACACAGCGTCTATGCCTGGAGTGCACCAATCGATTGATGAAGGCCATTGGCACCTGGAACCACACTCTGAGAAAGGCCTGGCGCAATGAATCGGCTGTGTTCGGCCTTGCTATGGCATTATTCAATCTCCTCTGAATTTCATCCCAAATATGTTTAATGGGGATTAAATCAGGACTAAGGGCTGGCCACTGCATAATGTTGACACCGCTGTGCTGTAAGAAGTCCCGTGTAGCCCTGGCAGTATGGGCCCGGGCGTTATCATGCTGGAAAATGTTGTTCCGGCGACGTGCAAAATGTGGTATGACGTGGGGTCTGAGAGCTTGGTCGATGTAGCGCACCGCTGTGATGCCGCCTCCTCTCCCTGGACCAAGGTTCTGGAACACCACAGGACCCACTCTCTGGTTCAGGCCTATTCCAACCCATACCATGATGCTTGCACCTCCCCATGAGTCTCTTTCCATAACACATTGGTCTGAGTAACGCTGGCCACGTCGTCGCCATATTCTTGTTCTGCCATCTGCAGTTGACACGCAGTACCGACTCTCATCTGTGAACAGAACAGTTCTCCATTGCCTGTATCGCCAGTTTTGGTGTTGTAGGGCAAACTGTAGACGTTCACGCCGATGACGAGGGATGAGAATAGGTCCACGGTAAGGTCTACGGCAATGGAGGTTCCCGCTGTAAGACGTCGGCGTACTGTATCAGTACTGATTGGTCTTTCGTTTGTTCCCACTGACTGGCGTGCTGTTTCGGATGCCTGCATGAAGGGATTCTGTACATGCTGTCGCACAACATGGCGGTCTTGTCGTCTTGTGGTCACCCTTGGTCTGCCAGTACGGGGACGATCATTTGTGGTGTTTGTGGCTCGGAAACGTTGCTGCAGCCTGAAGATGGTCCGAATGTTGATCTGGAAGTGATTGGCAACGGCTTGTACAGTGTGGCCAGCTTCAAGTCTTCCTAGCGCCTGGTTCCTCTGAGCTGTCGTGAGAAGGGGCATCCTGCTGACGTTGTAATGTGAATGTTTCAACAAGGTTTGGGGGTGCATTTTATAGGACTGGTCCTTGTGAACAGCACGTGCAGCATGTTATGGAGAACACCGTACCATCTCCGAGATCAGGTTGCGTTTTTGAGACCTTTTACTGGGTTCCATTCTGAGTTTTGGAAGGAATGTCTTTGCTCAGGTAAAGTTGGAGATGTTGTCAAAAATATACAATCCAAATTTTAAATGAGTTTACAGTTATCCGTTTTTGCGAAGGAATATTCCAAACTGACGTTTCTTTTGCTGCTTAGTATACTTTAGTAGCTATAGACATGCACTACAGTAAACTACGTATATATCAAACATTGTTAAACACATTAACATATATAACAACTATTGTTTTTTTCCCGTCCATCTTGCAGTATAATTCAGTCGAATAGCAAATAACGAACAACGGTTTTAACGAACTAAACATAGTGGCACGATATCCATAGTTTACTGTATTTTGTTGGAACAATGGTGACGGTTACCGATGAGTTTAAAATGGAAGAAAAAGCGTTAATGGTAACACATCATATACATACCGTTCAACACGTTCATTATGCTGATTTCTCCACAACTGGTTGGTTCATGTTTCTATATAAAAATGTAACCGATTCTTAGATTCACAAAGTTGGGTGAGCAAATAGCTTCCAACCAATCAGCATGCTTCAAATTTTAAACACCTTGGGGTACTAGCTTACAACCAATCAGCATGCAGCAAACACCTTGGGGTACTAGCTTACAACCAATCAGCATGCAGCAAACACCTTGGGGTGCTAGCTTACAACCAATCAGCATGCAGCAAACACCTTGTAGCAAGTAGGATCTAACTAATCATCTCGCAGATTGTGTCAATCTTAAATTTAATTTACAATAATATAAATTAGCAGTGTTTGTTTTCAGACTCTTTGCTTGCCCTTCCCGTCTCACAAGTATCGCCAGTGAAGCTCCGTGAATACTTTCTACTTAAGTTCGTTGTTATCAATACAGCTGCTTGTTATCATATTACCCCAGTTGCTGCATTCGTTCCTCACTAATGCGGTTAGCATGATACTATAAGCGTGTCTCATAGTCCCTACACCATGTTATTTTCCCTTCCGCTCAGCCCTTGAAGCAAATCTAGATTTCCCTGGTTTCTCTCCCATCACACAGGATCTGCTTTTCATTTTAAATGGAGCAAATATAATTTATTAAAAATATACTTCCAGAGACAAAGTGATAGTCTACATACATGCGGTACACTGTTGTGTTTCATCAGATCATTCGTGATCAACTCGTGTTATTCCGGGACAAGCCGATCTTCTTGGAGGTTATGGAAAGTGACGAGTTGTGACGAATGTCATCAGGTACTCGAATGGAAGCTTGTTGATGTTGCGTGAAGCAATATTTATTTATTAATTTTTTTCTCGGTATAGAGAATGCACAATGTCAGTTTATCTACTCTAATAGGTAGATAGCGGTTTCTGGAATGAAACTGCAATAAACCCATAAAGAGTTCCCTATTGTGTGTAAATATTATTTGTGGAATGATTTTGAGTTAACGTGAGGACGGGTCCTCGATTTTACAGTGCATTCCCATTGTTTCGTGATACATGTCCTCGACCTGTCTATACGGTTCAGTAGATGGATTTTAGTTCCAAGTAACACATCGCTAAAACTACCCGTGAAGCGGACATAATTTCAAGACACTGTGTGGGTAAGATGGTAATATTCCAGCAATATCACGGCGGGAGGAACCAGAAATGGGCTTCACACATTGTACCCATCTATGGAATAGACCCCGTGCACTTTGGTGAGACGCGAACGATTCAGTACTGGGCTACAGTACCCCCTCTCTCACGACATAGAAACAATAGGTTAGTCTTAAAAGTGAACAGTGACTCTCGACACAAGACTATTAAAGTTGAGTGACTGAGTTTAGACTTACGCCCAGCAAAGGACAAGCTATATGGCGGCGGTCTGTAAATAATCGAGTCTGGACCAGATAATCCGATAATCCAGTGATCAACAGCGTGAGCATCGATCTACGCAATTGGGATACGATGACATGTCAGCGAGCCTGACCACCCGATCCCGTTAGTCGCCTCTTACGCCAAGCATGGGTTACTGAAGATCAATTCTAACCCGGATCTTCACGGGTGACTATTAAAAGAGTCATAATAGGCATGGAACCCTGGATAATCGGGGGTGGTAAGGGTATGGAAGTTGATCTTTTTTGGACAAGGTCCCATGATTTTAAACGAACCATGACCAAGTATCCCCCTGTCTCTTGTACACAACCCTTTTGATAATTTGGGAACACTGAACCACTTTTCATAAAAACAGCACAAGAACAATTGCCGAACCAACTATGTTGAAGCTCAGTGGGACGTCATTTCCTCTGTTGCTAACGAAGATGCCTTGTACTGAAAAAACATAAATGAACACATTTCAAAACTGAAGATCGTCAGTGATTGACTGATCACGGGCAGTATTAACTGATGAAATGTACCCGTCTTGTCGTGAAGTGACGAAACAACTGCAATAATTATTTGGATATTCGATCTCTTGGACAGTTTAAGAGGATTTGAGGAATTGGCACAGGTTTTTCTAACTTCTGAAGAAAGAGAATATGTCGGTGTGTTTCAGAATTGATGATATATGTGGTAAATTGACCGTTTCAAGAAGATAGTGTACATTTACCCCCAAATTTACCAGAACAATATGATCGATATATTGATTATCCCGATCCTGTTAGTCCCCTCTTAAGCATTGGTTAAGCTGAAGACCAATTCTAACCTTCACAGTAAATATACTGGACAAAAATAGTTAGGGATATATTTAAATTTTTAAATTAAGAATAATGATCTATTGACACACTGAATCGAAAAAAAAATACCAATATCCCTAACTTATTTTGTCCAGTATATTAAGGAGACGTTTGAATGAACTAACTCTACAGGGTGTGGAGTGAATATTGTTTTATGCCGCATTAAGCAACAATCCGGCAATATCACACCTTGTACCCATCTGGGGACCCAAACCCAGGTCTTCGAACAGGATGAGCGAACGTTTCAACCATTTGGCTACGTCACTACCCCTGACAAAGTATCGAATCCCAAACTCTCTACAATGAGTTGAAAGTGTACCTTGAGTACTGTTTGTGCTCTGTACGCCGACTGTCTGTACACGGTATGTCGTCCGGACCTTCTTCTCCAGGAAAATGCCTGACTGTACCACCCGCTTCTTCCTCCCGTAACCGGTGTAGGGCTGGGACTCGCTACCACACTGGACCTGTTGACGGGACATAAAATGTTCTTAGAGTTTTTTTTGTTTTATACTCATAGGACTTTATTGTGCAGTAAAGGGACACTGTGGACCGTTAGTCTAATGTAGCACGACGTGTTGTGCTGGGGAAAGACACAGCTGGGCGGGAAGTCTAAGAATACAATGTTTCGTGCAGCTAAGGTGTGGTGAGGTGAAATTGGGTTTAAGGCCGTGCTCGAGAATATTTCGCTCATATGGCGACGTGCATGCGTGTGTATGTGTATGTGCGGCTGCTTGTACTAGCCCAGACTGAAGCCGATTTAATAGTGTTAGCCCACTGAGATATCATGCCGCAGTGAAGCATGAATACCCCACTCAGACACATTATACTGACTCCGAGCCGACCAGTCCTTGTTGTACCCATTAATGCCGAGCGCCAGGCAGGGACCAACAAGTACCATATTTTAACGTCTTTTGGTATGACGCGGTCGGGGATCGAACCCGCGACCTTCCCCTCTCCTGGCGGACGCTCTAACCACTAAACCACGGAGGCGGTCGTGCAGCTAAGGGACACAGGGTCTAAGGACACAACGTGTTGTGTTGTAAAGGAACAGCTGAGGTCCTTTTGAGGACACAGCGTGTTGTATTGTAAAGGAACTGGTGTGGTCTGTTGGTCTAAGGACACAACGTGTTGTGTTGTAAAGGAACTGGTGTAGTCCGTTAGTCTAATGACACTACGTGTTGTATTGTAAAGGAACTGGTGTGGTCTGTTGGTCTAAGGACAAAACGTGTTGTGTTGTAAAGGAACTGGTGTAGTCCGTTAGTCTAAGGACACAACGTGTTGTGTTGTAAAGGAACTGGTGTGGTCTGTTGGTCTAAGGATACAACGTGTTGTGTTGTAAAGGAACTTGTGTGGTCTGTTGGTCTAAGGATACAACGTGTTGTGTTGAAATGGAACTGGTGTGGTCTGTTAGTCTAAGGACACAACGTGTTGTGTTGTAAAGGAACTTGTGTGGTCTGTTGGTCTAAGGACACAACGTGTTGTGTTGTAAAGGAACTGGTGTAGTCCGTTAGTCTAAGGATACAACGTGTTGTGTTGTAAAGGAACTGGTGAGGTCTGTTGGTCTAAGGACACAACGTGTTGTGTTGTAAAGAAATTGGTGCAGTCCGTTAGTCTAAGGACACAACGTGTCGTATTGTAAAGGAACTGGTGTGGTCCGTTAGTCTAAGGACACAACGTGTTGTGTTGTAAAGGTACTGGTGAGGTCCTTTTGAGGACACAACGTGTTGTGTTGTAAAGGAACTAGTTTAGTCCATTAGTCTAAGGACACAACGTGTCGTATTGTAAAGGAACTGGTGTAGTCCGTTAGTCTAAGGACACAACGTGTCGTATTGTAAAGGAACTGGTGTAGTCTGTTAGTCTAACGACACAACGTCTTGTGTTGTAAAGGAACTGGTGTGGTCTGTTGGTCTAACGACACAACGTGTTGTGTTGTAAAGGAACTGATGTGGTCTGTTGGTCTAAGGACAAAACGTGTTGTGTTGTAAAGGAACTGGTGTAGTCCGTTAGTCTAAGGACACAACGTGTTGTGTTGTAAAGGAACTGGTGTGGTCTGTTGGTCTAAGGATACAACGTGTTGTGTTGTAAAGGAACTGGTGTAGTCCGTTAGTCTAATGACACTACGTGTTGTATTGTAAAGGAACTGGTGTGGTCTGTTGGTCTAAGGACAAAACGTGTTGTGTTGTAAAGGAACTGGTGTAGTCCGTTAGTCTAAGGACACAACGTGTTGTGTTGTAAAGGAACTGGTGTGGTCTGTTGGTCTAAGGATACAACGTGTTGTGTTGTAAAGGAACTTGTGTGGTCTGTTGGTCTAAGGATACAACGTGTTGTGTTGAAATGGAACTTGTGTGGTCTGTTAGTCTAAGGACACAACGTGTTGTGTTGTAAAGGAACTTGTGTGGTCTGTTGGTCTAAGGACACAACGTGTTGTGTTGTAAAGGAACTGGTGTAGTCCGTTAGTCTAAGGATACAACGTGTTGTGTTGTAAAGGAACTGGTGAGGTCTGTTGGTCTAAGGACACAACGTGTTGTGTTGTAAAGAAATTGGTGTAGTCCGTTAGTCTAAGGACACAACGTGTCGTATTGTAAAAGAACTGGTGTGGTCCGTTAGTCTAAGGACACAACGTGTTGTGTTGTAAAGGAACTTGTGTGGTCTGTTGGTCTAAGGATACAACGTGTTGTGTTGAAATGGAACTGGTGTGGTCTGTTAGTCTAAGGACACAACGTGTTGTGTTGTAAAGGAACTTGTGTGGTCTGTTGGTCTAAGGACACAACGTGTTGTGTTGTAAAGGAACTGGTGTAGTCCGTTAGTCTAAGGATACAACGTGTTGTGTTGTAAAGGAACTGGTGAGGTCTGTTGGTCTAAGGACACAACGTGTTGTGTTGTAAAGAAATTGGTGCAGTCCGTTAGTCTAAGGACACAACGTGTCGTATTGTAAAGGAACTGGTGTGGTCCGTTAGTCTAAGGACACAACGTGTTGTGTTGTAAAGGTACTGGTGAGGTCCTTTTGAGGACACAACGTGTTGTGTTGTAAAGGAACTAGTTTAGTCCATTAGTCTAAGGACACAACGTGTCGTATTGTAAAGGAACTGGTGTAGTCCGTTAGTCTAAGGACACAACGTGTTGTGTTGTAAAGGAACTGGTGTGGTCTGTTGGTCTAAGGATACAACGTCTTGTGTTGTAAAGGAACTGGTGTAGTCCGTTAGTCTAATGACACTACGTGTTGTATTGTAAAGGAACTGGTGTGGTCTGTTGGTCTAAGGACAAAACGTGTTGTGTTGTAAAGGAACTGGTGTAGTCCGTTAGTCTAAGGACACAACGTGTTGTGTTGTAAAGGAACTGGTGTGGTCTGTTGGTCTAAGGATACAACGTGTTGTGTTGTAAAGGAACTGGTGTAGTCCGTTAGTCTAATGACACTACGTGTTGTATTGTAAAGGAACTGGTGTGGTCTGTTGGTCTAAGGACAAAACGTGTTGTGTTGTAAAGGAACTGGTGTAGTCCGTTAGTCTAAGGACACAACGTGTTGTGTTGTAAAGGAACTGGTGTGGTCTGTTGGTCTAAGGATACAACGTGTTGTGTTGTAAAGGAACTTGTGTGGTCTGTTGGTCTAAGGATACAACGTGTTGTGTTGAAATGGAACTTGTGTGGTCTGTTAGTCTAAGGACACAACGTGTTGTGTTGTAAAGGAACTTGTGTGGTCTGTTGGTCTAAGGACACAACGTGTTGTGTTGTAAAGGAACTGGTGTAGTCCGTTAGTCTAAGGATACAACGTGTTGTGTTGTAAAGGAACTGGTGAGGTCTGTTGGTCTAAGGACACAACGTGTTGTGTTGTAAAGAAATTGGTGTAGTCCGTTAGTCTAAGGACACAACGTGTCGTATTGTAAAAGAACTGGTGTGGTCCGTTAGTCTAAGGACACAACGTGTTGTGTTGTAAAGGAACTTGTGTGGTCTGTTGGTCTAAGGATACAACGTGTTGTGTTGAAATGGAACTGGTGTGGTCTGTTAGTCTAAGGACACAACGTGTTGTGTTGTAAAGGAACTTGTGTGGTCTGTTGGTCTAAGGACACAACGTGTTGTGTTGTAAAGGAACTGGTGTAGTCCGTTAGTCTAAGGATACAACGTGTTGTGTTGTAAAGGAACTGGTGAGGTCTGTTGGTCTAAGGACACAACGTGTTGTGTTGTAAAGAAATTGGTGCAGTCCGTTAGTCTAAGGACACAACGTGTCGTATTGTAAAAGGAACTGGTGTGGTCCGTTAGTCTAAGGACACAACGTGTTGTGTTGTAAAGGTACTGGTGAGGTCCTTTTGAGGACACAACGTGTTGTGTTGTAAAGGAACTAGTTTAGTCCATTAGTCTAAGGACACAACGTGTCGTATTGTAAAGGAACTGGTGTAGTCCGTTAGTCTAAGGACACAACGTGTCGTATTGTAAAGGAACTGGTGTAGTCCGTTAGTCTAACGACACAACGTCTTGTGTTGTAAAGGAACTGGTGTGGTCTGTTGGTTCAACGACACAACGTGTTGTGTTGTAAAGGAACTGATGTGGTCTGTTGGTCTAAGGACAAAACGTGTTTGTGTTGTAAAAGGAACTGGTGTAGTCCGTTAGTCTAAGGACACAACGTGTTGTGTTGTAAAGGAACTGGTGTGGTCTGTTGGTCTAAGGATACAACGTGTTGTGTTGTAAAGGAACTTGTGTGGTCTGTTGGTCTAAGGATACAACGTGTTGTGTTGAAATGGAACTGGTGTGGTCTGTTAGTCTAAGGACACAACGTGTTGTGTTGTAAAAGGAACTTGTGTGGTCTGTTGGTCTAAGGACACAACGTGTTGTGTTGTAAAGGAACTGGTGTAGTCCGTTAGTCTAAGGATACAACGTGTTGTGTTGTAAAGGAACTGGTGAGGTCTGTTGGTCTAAGGACACAACGTGTTGTGTTGTAAAGAAATTGGTGCAGTCCGTTAGTCTAAGGACACAACGTGTCGTATTGTAAAGGAACTGGTGTGGTCCGTTAGTCTAAGGACACAACGTGTTGTGTTGTAAAGGTACTGGTGAGGTCCTTTTGAGGACACAACGTGTTGTGTTGTAAAGGAACTAGTTTAGTCCATTAGTCTAAGGACACAACGTGTCGTATTGTAAAGGAACTGGTGTAGTCCGTTAGTCTAAGGACACAACGTGTCGTATTGTAAAGGAACTGGTGTAGTCCGTTAGTCTAACGACACAACGTCTTGTGTTGTAAAGGAACTGGTGTGGTCTGTTGGTGTAACGACACAACGTGTTGTGTTGTAAAGGAACTGATGTGGTCTGTTGGTCTAAGGACAAAACGTGTTGTGTTGTAAAGGAACTGGTGTAGTCCGTTAGTCTAAGGACACAACGTGTTGTGTTGTAAAGGAACTGGTGTGGTCTGTTGGTCTAAGGATACAACGTGTTGTGTTGTAAAGGAACTGGTGTAGTCCGTTAGTCTAATGACACTACGTGTTGTATTGTAAAGGAACTGGTGTGGTCTGTTGGTCTAAGGACAAAACGTGTTGTGTTGTAAAGGAACTGGTGTAGTCCGTTAGTCTAAGGACACAACGTGTTGTGTTGTAAAGGAACTGGTGTAGTCCGTTAGTCTAACGACACAACGTCTTGTGTTGTAAAGGAACTTGTGTGGTCTGTTGGTCTAACGACACAACGTGTTGTGTTGTAAAGGAACTGATGTGGTCTGTTGGTCTAAGGACAAAACGTGTTGTGTTGTAAAGGAACTGGTGTAGTCCGTTAGTCTAAGGACACAACGTGTTGTGTTGTAAAGGAACTGGTGTGGTCTGTTGGTCTAAGGATACAACGTGTTGTGTTGTAAAGGAACTGGTGTAGTCCGTTAGTCTAATGACACTACGTGTTGTATTGTAAAGGAACTGGTGTGGTCTGTTGGTCTAAGGACAAAACGTGTTGTGTTGGAAAGGAACTGGTGTAGTCCGTTAGTCTAAGGACACAACGTGTTGTGTTGTAAAGGAACTGGTGTGGTCTGTTGGTCTAAGGATACAACGTGTTGTGTTGTAAAGGAACTTGTGTGGTCTGTTGGTCTAAGGATACAACGTGTTGTGTTGAAATGGAACTGGTGTGGTCTGTTAGTCTAAGGACACAACGTGTTGTGTTGTAAAGGAACTTGTGTGGTCTGTTGTCTAAGGACACAACGTGTTGTGTTGTAAAGGAACTGGTGTAGTCCGTTAGTCTAAGGATACAACGTGTTGTGTTGTAAAGGAACTGGTGAGGTCTGTTGATCTAAGGACACAACGTGTTGTGTTGTAAAGAAATTGGTGCAGTCCGTTAGTCTAAGGACACAACGTGTCGTATTGTAAAAGAACTGGTGTGGTCCGTTAGTCTAAGGACACAACGTGTTGTGTTGTAAAGGTACTGGTGAGGTCCTTTTGAGGACACAACGTGTTGTGTTGCAAAGGAACTAGTTTAGTCCATTAGTCTAAGGACACAACGTGTCGCATTGTAAAGGAACTGGTGTAGTCCGTTAGTCTAAGGACACAACGTGTCGTATTGTAAAGGAACTGGTGTAGTCCGTTAGTCTAACGACACAACGTCTTGTGTTGTAAAGGAACTGGTGTAGTCTGTTGGTCTAACGACACAACGTGTTGTGTTGTAAAGGAACTGATGTGGTCTGTGTAAGGACACAGCGTGTTGTGTTGTAAAGGAACTGGTGTGGTCTGTTAGCCTAAGGACACAACATGCTGTGTTGTAAAGGGACACAGGTGGCCCTTTAGTCTAAGGACCCAACGTGTTGTGTTGTAAAGGAACTGGTGTGGTCTGTTGGTCTAAGGACACACCATGCTGTGTTGTAAAGGGACACAGGTGGCCCTTTAGTCTAAGGACATTTTCCAAAATAGGCTGCCACAGTATACTTATTTATTAGGATAAGTTTACGATAATTCGTAGTCTAAGATCGTTTCGAAACGATCAAGGTCCTGATTATGATTGTGATGCGCAGTTTGTCGACATAACATATGTTACCCGAGATGAGGGACGTCACTGAAAATGTTCAACAGTACCTCTGGGCAAATAAACTCGACAAACCCTTTCTATATCTATAATAGGTATCTTCTAAAACCGGCATATCAAAAAAAGCTAAACGCAAAATGGTAAATACATCGATCCCAATCGGCGGCACAAATCACAAACACACGCAGCTTCACCAGAAAAAAAGGGTCGGTGGGGGAGCCTAGTGGTCATAGCGTTCGCTCGTCACGCCCAAAACCCGGGTTCGATTCCCTACATGGGTACAATGTGTGAAGCCCATTTTTGGTGTCCCCCGGCGTGATATTGCTGGAATAAACACACTCACTCACTCACTCACCAGAAAAAACACGGGAACATGCGGTACAAGTTACAGTAGGGAATAGCATCGGATCCTCACAACTGATGATGACTTACCGCTGCACACGTGGTCGCCTCCGTGCACATCTTGACTGTGCACGTCACCGACACCGCGTCCTGATTGGTGAACTTGAAAGCGTCGTAGACGAAGCTCACCTTGGTATCAGAGTCCTTCTTTGGCTTCTGTATCATGACGATGTCGACGTCGCTGGGTGGACAGCTGGAGGAGATACAGTGAGTGAGTTTAGTTTTACGCCGCTTTTAGCAATATTACAGCAATATCACGCCGGGGACACCAAACATTGGCTTCACACATTGTACCCATGTTGGGAATCGAACCCGGGTCTTCGGCATGACTAGCGAACGAATTAACCACTTGGCTACCCCACCACCCCTCGACTGTACAGAGGTATTTGTGTAATGTCGGTGTTAACGTTGTGTGTCCAGAGACTATATTGACCTCACCTGGCCGCGATGAATCTGACCGACTTCAAGTCTCCGCCTGTCAGTGTGTTGCTGGCTACACAACCTTCGACACGGAGGGCCTCAAACTCTGGAACATCATCGTTTGAGTGAGTGAGTGAAAAAATATTCCCTGAGGAGCATTTTCCCCAAAATAATTATGATTTATGTGCATCATCCCAACACCAAACCCCACCCCCACCCCTTCTAAAACATCCTGGATCCGCCCTGAAACACCTTGTAAAATCACAGATTTTCAGTGATTATCAATACAATTTTCACCACTAACTCGCCTCAATGGAATCCGGCCGATACCGGAATGTGGTTATTCTCTGGTGTTAAGGTCATATATTCTGGCCCCCTAACACTATCGATATATGCGTGTGTTTTTCTACTTTCAATAGAATAGGTCGCATTTTTACCCTCTTGCTGGTCTCAAAACACTAAACTGGCAACATTTAGCGGCTAAATTGGATATAGTGCTCACTGGCCTACAGCTAATACTAAACACTGGTTCGTGTTGTCAGTTCCAAGTAAGGTTATTCAACGGTTTGATATAACCGGGACGATGCTGACTGCGGCGTAAAACAATAAGAACATGATCTATGATATCAGCATTTGGGGTGATGTCTTACTTACTAAGCATACCAGCGGCCGTCATTTCTATAGTAGCGTTGATGTCGTCACCCAGGTTGACGCTGCTGGAGACGGGACTGCCTAATACCGTCAGCGTTAGGTTCACGTCTTCATCTTTGATGCTCATGTCCACCCCGACAGGACTCAAGATACTAGGAAGTTGAAGCAGACAATATGTCAGTGGGGAAGAACTCACACAAGTTACACATGTTTTACAGAATAACACTAATTGTCGTGTACACTTGTCGACCTCGTCAAAATATTACCAGGTGAGCAGATTGTGTCAATAAAAATTGCCGACCTAAGCAGATTGTTAGTCGTTAAGCTGCCTTTAAAAGCAGACAAGGGAAGCCGGCAGACAGGTGGAAGAGTGCGGACAGACAAGCAGAAGGCAAGGGACAAGGAGAAGCGGACACTGACCAGCCAATACAGCCAAATACTGCCCAAGTGTCAGTCTGACTTCGCCGGCCTTCCCTGTCGGACTCTGTAAACTGTGTGCAAACTGTTCGCCCTAACGGGGCGATGGGATAGCTAAGTGGTTTAGGTGTTCACTCTGCTCGCTGAAGACCCGGGTTCGGTTCCCCACATGGGCACAACATGTGAAGCCCATTTCTGCTCTCCCCCGCCGTGATATTGCCGGAATATTGCTGAAAGCGGCGTAACACTAAAACTCACTCACTCACTGTTCGCCCTGTCTCGAGGTTGTACTGCAAGAATATAAACACCCATTCCGCCTCATGTTGTTTGAACAGCGCTGAGGTGTTACAAGTGGTAATTCAATTTCTCAGTAACGTACACATTCTTGTCCGTTTGGAAATCAGTCCCATCTAGGATTCACACCCACACTTACAGAGTGAGGCAACTAATCAGTAGCACACTCGTATTCTTAAATCTGTGCTGTACCCGTCAATGTCGATGCTGCTGAGTTGGAAGGTGACTGCCGTGCTGTGGGTGTCGTCGCAGATAGCAGTCACCACCTCGTCGGACGTCAACACGATGCTGTTGCTGGCAAACAAAACGTAAAACTTCCTAGTGTTGGAGTCGGTCTGAAAAAAATAGAAAATCTTAACGCCATTCCCTGCAGAAACTGTTGACAAGCCAACTGTTCTGAAATTCAGCACAGAAACCGTTTGCAATGGTGTCAGAGCCTATCTCAAATTTGGCACAGAAGCTATTGGCTTGCGGATTAATATAGGATGTTGTATTGTAACATAACAACGTATGGTATAGATTTACGACGTCTTTAATATTTACAACACATTCACCTGATGAAGGGGCAAGAAGTAGCCCAGAAACGTCGTGTTGTAAATTTTAAGAAGTTGTAAATCCATACCATACGTTGTTATGTTACCTTCCAACTTCTAAATGCCCATCAGGCATCTCATCGGATGTTCTTTTGGCTTTTTAACGTGGAATGCAGTGACTACTTCGGTAAGGTTGATAAAGCTGATACAACAGAGGTGTATTCAATGGGTGATACGTGATGGTACATCTTGTGTGTGACTGACTGTGTCCTTCATTGGTTATGCCTGTTAATATTCGAATCAGGGTCAGATAAGCACGAACCATCACTATCAACAGTACCCTTGAATGTCAAGGCTACTTGGGATCTTTTCTACATCATTCAGCTATTATCTTAACTGCGCAAGATGCTGTGAACATAACTCGCACCTGCGTTGTGGACTGCGACACTGTCAACAGTGCACTTGGACGTCAAAGCTACTTGGGGTCTATTATACATCACGCAGCTATCATCTTAACTGCGCAAGATGCTGTGAACATAACTCGCACCTGCGTTGTGGACTGCGACACTGTCAACAGTGCACTTGGACGTCAAAGCTATTTGGGGTCTATTATACATCATTCAGCTATCATCTTAACTGGACAAGAAGCTTTGAACGTAAGTCTCACCTGCCTTGTGGACACCGACACTTTAAACAGTGCACTTCAACGTCGAGAATATTTTTAAATCCATCAACCAGCAATACATAAACTGAAGAAGATGCTTTGAACATTACTCACACTGGCGTTGTGGACAGCGTTCCCGCACGTGCTGTGAATGTGAGTGAGGGTCAGCTCGTACGTCTGGGTCGTGCCCGATACTAAGGCCATGCGACATGCTGTAGTTTTGACCTTCCCTTCAACGAAGATTGTGCCATTAAAACTTGGGACTTGCGGCGTTATCCTGAGCGTCATCCGAGGCGTTGGTGTCGAAACGCAGATGATGCTGTCTGTAAACAGAGATTCGAACCTACATCAGTAGAGGAGCATGGTGATACAGATTTTCGAAGTGCGTCCCTTGGGCACACAGAAACCTATGACTGTGGGTTCGAATCCAAGGTTCGATCATGTTACTACGTTTCACATCAAGATACATAGGCTCGTGGTTTCACAAAGCTGCCAAGTATCCGAGGCCTGCATCACTTCGGGCTTTCCAAGGACATCAATAGGGCAGGCGGTGATATAACTACAATACTGCACAAGGCCGGATATGATTTAACTATAATAATGCACAGAGCGGGCAGTGATTTAACTACATATGTTTAATACTGCACAGAGCGCGCTGTGATTAACTGCAATATTGCACAGAGCTCGGTATGATGTAACTACAATACTGCACAGAGCTCGGAATGATGTAACTACAATACTGCACAGAGCGCGGTATGATGTAACTACAATACTGCACAGAGCTCGGTATGATGTAACTACAATACTGCACAGAGCTCGGTATGATGTAACTACAATACTGCACAGAGCTCGGTATGATGTAACTACAATACTGCACAGAGCTCGGTATGATGTAAGTAAAAATACTGCACACAGCTCGGTATGATGTAACTACAATACTGCATGCACAGAGCTCGGTATGATGTAACTACAATACTGCACAGAGCTCGGTATGATGTAACTACAATACTGCACAGAGCTCGGTATGATGTAACTACAATACTGCACAGAGCTCGGTATGATGTAACTACAATACTGCACAGAGCTCGGTATGATGTAACTACAATACTGCACAGAGCTCGGTATGATGTAACTACAATACTGCACAGAGCTCGGTATGATGTAACTACAATACTGCACAGAGCGCGGTGTGATGTAACTACAATACTGCGCACAGAGCTCGGTATGATGTAACTACAATACTGCACAGAGCTCGGTATGATGTAACTACAATACTGCACAGAGCTCGGTATGATGTAACTACAATACTGCACAGAGCTCGGTATGATGTAACTACAATACTGCACAGAGCTCGGCATGATGTAACTACAATACTGCACAGAGCTCGGTATGATGTAACTACAATACTGCACAGAGCTCGGCATGATGTAACTACAATACTGCACAGAGCTCGGTATGATGTAACTACAATACTGCTGGTAAGCTCGGTATGATGCTACAGAGCTCGGCATGATGTAACTACAATACTGCACAGAGCTCGGTATGATGTAACTAAAATACTGCACAGCTGTGATTAACTACAATACTGCACAGGCACCGGTATGATGTAACTACAATACTGCACAGAAGCTGTGATTAACCACAATACTTCGCAGGCTCGGTATGATGTAACTACAATACTGCACAGAGCTCGGTATGATGTAACTACAATACTGCACAGAGCTCGGCATGATGTAACTGACTGCACAGAGTATGATGTAACTAAAAATACTGCACAGAGCTCGGTATGATGTAACTACAATACTGCACAGAGCTCGGTATGATGTAACTACAATACTGCACAGAGCTCGGAATGATGTAACTACAATACTGCACAGAGCGCGCTGTGATTAACTACAATACTTCACAGAGCTCGGTATGATGTAACTACAATACTGCACAGAGCTCGGTATGATGTAACTACAATACTGCACAGAGCTCGGTATGATGTAACTACAATACTGCACAGAGCTCGGTATGATGTAACTACAATACTTCACAGAGCTCGGTATGATGTAACTACAATACTGCACAGAGCTCGGTATGATGTAACTACAATACTGCACAGAGCTCGGTTTGCACAGAGCTCGGTATGATGTAACTACAATACTGCACAGAGCTCGGTATGATGTAACTACAATACTGCACAGAGCTCGGCATGATGTAACTACAATACTGCACAGAGCTCGGTATGATGTAACTACAATACTGCACAGAGCTCGGTATGATGTAACTACAATACTGCACAGAGCTCGGTATGATGTAACTACAATACTGCACAGAGCTCGGTATGATGTAACTACAATACTGCACAGAGCGCGCTGTGATTAACTACAATACTGCACAGAGCTCGGTATGATGTAACTACAATACTGCACAGAGCTCGGTATGATGTAACTACAATACTGCACAGAGCTCGGTATGATGTAACTACAATACTGCACAGAGCTCGGTATGATGTAACTACAATACTGCACAGAGCTCGGCATGATGTAACTACAATACTGCACAGAGCTCGGTATGATGTAACTACAATACTGCACAGAGCTCGGCATGATGTAACTACAATACTGCACAGAGCTCGGTATGATGTAACTACAATACTGCACAGAGCCCGGTATGATGTAACTACAATACTGCACAGAGCTCGGTATGATGTAACTACAATACTGCACAGAGCTCGGCATGATGTAACTACAATACTGCACAGAGCTCGGTATGATGTAACTAAAAATACTGCACAGAGCGCGCTGTGATTAACTACAATACTGCACAGAGCTCGGTATGATGTAACTACAATACTGCACAAAGCTCGGTATGATGTAACTACAATACTGCACAGAGCTCGGTATGATGTAACTACAATACTGCACAGAGCTCGGTATGATGTAACTACAATACTGCACAGAGCTCGGCATGATGTAACTACAATACTGCACAGAGCTCGGTATGATGTAACTAAAATACTGCACAGAGCGCGCTCTGATTAACTACAATACTGCACAGAGCTCGGTATGATGTAACTACAATACTGCACAGAGCTCGGTATGATGTAACTACAATACTGCACAGAGCTCGGTATGATGTAACTACAATACTGCACAGAGCTCGGTATGATGTAACTACAATACTGCACAGAGCTCGGTATGATGTAACTAAAAATGCTGCACAGAGCTCGGTATGATGTAACTACAATACTGCACAGAGCGCTGTGATTAACTACAATACTTCACAGAGCTCGGTATGATGTAACTACAATACTGCACAGAGCTCGGTATGATGTAACTACAATACTGCACAGAGCTCGGTATGATGTAACTACAATACTGCACAGAGCTCGGTATGATGTAACTACAATACTGCACAGAGCTCGGTATGATGTAACTACAATACTGCACAGAGCTCGGTATGATGTAACTAAAAATGCTGCACAGAGCTCGGTATGATGTAACTACAATACTGCACAGAGCACGCTGTGATTAACTACAATACTTCACAGAGCTCGGTATGATGTAACTCACTAATACTGCACAGAGCTCGGTATGATGTAACCACAATACTGCACAGAGCTCGGCATGATGTAACTACAATACTGCACAGAGCTCGGTATGATGTAACTACAATACTGCACAGAGCTCGGTATGATGTAACTACAATACTGCACAGAGCTCGGTCATGATGTAACTACAATACCGCACAGAGCTCGGTATGATGTAACTACAACACTGCACAGAGCTCGGTATGATGTAACTACAATACTGCACAGAGCTCGGTATGATGTAACTACAATACCGGGTATCACAGAGCTCGGTATGATGTAACTACAATCACTGCACAGAGCGCGCTGTGATTAACTACAATACTGCACAGAGCTCGGTATGATGTAACTACAATACTGCACAGAGCTCGGTATGATGTAACCTGTAATACCGCACACAGAGCTCGGTATGATGTAACTACAATACTGCAGTCCAGAGCTCGGTATGATGTAACCACAATACTGCACAGAGCTCGGCATGATGTAACTACAATACTGCACAGAGCTCGGTATGATGTAACTACAATACTGCACAGAGCTCGGCATGATGTAACTACAATACTGCACAGAGCTCGGTATGATGTAACTACAATGCTGCACAGAGCCCCGGTATGATGTAACTACAATGCTGCACAGAGCTCGGTATGATGTAACTACAATACCGCACAGAGCTCCGGCATGATGTAACTACAATACTGCACAGAGCTCGGTATGATGTAACTAAAAATACTGCACAGAGAAGCTGTGATTAACTACAATACTGCATGGAAGCTCGGTATGATGTGGCTACAATGCTGCACAAAGCTCGGTATGATGTAACTACAATACTGCACAGAGCTCGGTATGATGTAACTACAATGCTGCACAGAGCTCGGTATGATGTAACTACAATGCTGCACAGAAGCTCGGCATGATGTAACTACAATGCCACGCCTGCTTCGATGTAATCCTTAACTAAAAATACTGCTGGAAGCGCGCTGTGATTAACTACAATACCGCTGCACAGAGCTCGGTATGATGTAACTACTACAATACCGCACAGAGCTCGGGTGATGATGTAACAATACTGCACAGAGCTCGGTATGATGTAACTACAATACCTGCACAGAGCTCCGGTATGATGTAACTACAATACTGCACAGAGCTCGGTATGATGTAACTAAAAATGCCGCAATATGGAGAGCTCGGTATGATGTAACTACAATACTGCAGGAGAGCGCTGCTGTGATTAATACAATACTTCACAGGCTCGGTATGATGTAAACTACAATACTGCCACAGGAAGCTCGGTATGATGTAACTACAATACTGCACAGAGCTCGGTATGATGTAACTACAATACTGCACAGAGGTCGGTATGATGTAACTACAATACCGTACAAGATGCAGGCTCGGTATGATGTAACTACAATACTGCACAGAGCTCGGCATGATGTAACTAAAAATACTGCACAGAGCTCGGTATGATGCAAGGTAACCACAATACTGCACAGAGCTCGGTATGATGTAACTACAATACTGCACAGAGCTCGGTATGATGTAACTACAATACTGCACAGTCAGTAGCTCGGTATGATGTAACCACTACAATGCTGCCACAGAGCTCGGTATGATGTAACCAAAATGCAACGCACAGAGCTCGGTATGATGTAACTCACAATACTGCACAGAGCTCGGTATGATGTAACTACAATACTGCACAGAGCTCGGTATGATGTAACTACTGACACATACACACAGAGCTCGG